GGAGGAGGAGGGGAGGAGGAGGAGGAGGAGGAGAGGAGGAGGAGGAGGAGGAGGAGGAGGAGGAGGCGGAGGAGAGAGGAGGCGGAGGAGGGAGGAGGAGGAGGAGGAGGAGGAGGACCTCATCCTCCCCTCTCCCCCGCCCTGCCCGGAGTGACCTCTGGTGTGGGCCCAGTTGGGCCCCCCGATCGCCGAACGCGAGGCGGCAGTGGCGTCTTGCGCGCTTGTGTTTGCCCCCCCCCCCCCCCCCCGCCGCGCTAGTGTCTTATAAAACAGAGGATAGTCAAAGGATAGTCAAAGGATAGCCAAACAAGGATAACAAAGGATAGTCCTCCTGCAGATTCTGGAAGGAAAGGAAAAGATAGCCAAAAAGTGATCGAAGGATGGCCCCCAGACTATTTGTTCATTATTTTTGAATTCCTACAGTCAAGACGCTGAAATAAGGAGCAGTCTGGGTTCGGAAGGGGCTCGATGTTCCTCAGGTTCCTCCAGTGCTGTTCCTCCTGCCCTCCTGGGGCACGGAGGCGCTTACAGGGCCAATGAGGGGCTTCGTTCCTTATTTCGCGTTCCTTCTTTCAGCAGCCCGACCGTACGGGTGAACTTTGGTGCGGGCCCAGTTGGGCCCCCCGATCGCCGAACGCGAGGCGGCAGTGGCGTCTTGCGCGCTTGTGTTTGGCCCCCCCGCGGACCCCAAAAAGCCGCGCACCAGCTGGCCACCAGCCGAATCCCCGCCGCACTAGTATTAGGTTCGGCATGTCCTCCTACAGTTTCCTCTTGCCCTCCTGGGGCACGGAGGCGCTTACAGGGCCAATGAGGGGCTTCGTTCCTTATTTAGCGTTCCTTCTTTCAGCAGCCCGACCGTACAGGCAGATTCTGGAAGGAAAACAAAAGATAGTCAAAAAGTGATCGAAGCATGGTCCCCAGACTATCTTTTCATTATTTTTGAACATTCTTCCTGTAGGGCGACAGGCCCGACTTAACAGCAGTGTCGTCCACGCGCAGGGGGGTGGGTGGTAGGGAGAGGGGGGAAGACTTCTCAGAAACACCCCTGCTCCTGAGAAGGCGCGGTCCTTGTCTGTAGATGTCAGGCCAGCGTCTTCTAAGAAGCAGCCTCCTTCGAAGAAGTCCTCCCTCCTCCCCCTACAGTCGGACCGAGGTATGAGATCGGGGTCGGTTCGGGGAGGGTATCATAATGTTCTTGGTGCTTGTTGGATGTTCTTGTGCATCCTGGGGAAGGGCACCCTCAAGTGTCCTTCAGTTTTGGCCGGCGGAGGGTCTCATGTTCTTGAGGGATGTTCTTCTGGCCTAGGTCCGACGGTACTATCTTGGGGAACACCGTGTGAAAAAAGGGTTGGGGCTACACGAAAGCCAGCCTGGGACGGTTGTTCGAATATTTTGGGGAGCAGCGTGGAGAAGTTTGGTCGTGCATACGATGAGCGCGTTTCGAGTGATGATGCCTGGAACGCGGTAAGTTTGGCAGGCTGGGGCCAGGTATGGAGCTGAATAAGTGTAACGCAAAGCTTACTTGCAGACACACTGGCGCCTGCGTTTGCTTATTATCAGCTTCATATGTCACCTAGTAATCGGACAGTGCTTCTTCAGTTGGCAGTATAGGACAGTCAGGCCGATGCTGTGGTAAGGTCGTCGAGGATGGCTTATCTTTCGAGGGGTTATGTTGCGCGTCCCTGGCTGGGCACGTTCGGGAACCAGCCAATTTGACCAATCAGCCGAGAACGGTTCGGAGCGAACAGGCGAGACAGGCGAGAACAACGGTCCAGCGCCTCCACCTTCTTTTATCCCCCTCCTCCTCCTCCTCCTTCGTCTCCTCCTCCTCCTCCTCCTCCTCCTCCTCCTCCTCCCCCTTCCTCCGTGGTTCATTATCTTGTTTTCCTTTCCTCGTCCTGTCCCTGTTCGTCTTCCTCCCCCATCCCCCCGCGCCCGCGGGCGCCTGCCGCAACTGCGGCGGTTCACGCAGCTTCTTTGCGCAGGCGCCTTCCCTGCCCCGCTGCGTCTCCCCTGACGAATGGTGGTGTCCGTCGCTCGGGCGCTCCCCTACTGCCCCGCAACCCTCTCCTCCCCCTCCGAGGAGGAGGAGGGACTGCGAGGTGGGAAGGAGCGTGGAGGCGCTGCGAAAAGGTTCTCTTCTTCTTCTTCTTCTTCTTCTCCTTCTTCTCCTTCCGTGCGGTGTAGTTCCTCCTCGCCGCGCCACCGAGCCGTGCCGTCACGGCGGGCGAAGCGCCCCGCCGGGGACGCGCCCGAGGTCCGAGCCTGCGAGCAGCTGCGGAGACGCCTGCGACGACGCGAGTGCCACCGCTCCTCCTCAGCGTTGCGTCGACGGGCCCCTTGGAGTACGTGCTGGACCCACGTGCGTGTCAGCCCACATGAGCGACGCAAAACAAACCGGGTCGTCTTCGTCGACTGGCGCGGAAGCTGTCCGCGTAAGGTCGCGTATAAGTGCCCTCGTCTCGAATGCAGCGTGCCGCGCTGGCGGCCCGCGTAAGCCACCGCGTGAGGTCGCCATGCCATCTCGCGTAAGACCCCTATCTTTTCGTCGCTCACATGTGAGCACTCTGCGCGCGAATAGCTCATATTTCTGGCGCCCCGGCGCCGCGCCCGCAGCGCCCCAGTTGGTGTCCAAGCGCGGGGGTGTCTGCCTGTCCGTATGTTCTTGGCATCGCTCGGACGAGTAGTTATTTCTTCGGCGAGGACGATCGAGGAGCACCTTGGATCAACGAGCAAACAAGAGCACGCACGAAACCGAACAACGCACGGGGAATGGACGTCCGAGCGACGGCAAGTGTCTGCAGGGATCGAAGGCGGGTGGCTTTCAACATGTGGCCATCGTCCTCGCGCCGCGCACAGCCTCGTGGAAGCTCCTCGTCGTCGTGACTGTGGAGGGCGGGCCGTGGCACCGCGCGCATTGTAGTCCTGAGCGCCTCCAGCATTCCCCCGAGGAGGAGGAGGAGGAGGAGGAGGAGGAGGAGGAGGAGGAGGAGGAGGAGGAGGAGGAGGAGGAGGAGGAGGAGGAGGAGGAGCGGAGGGGCTGCTTCTCGAGCCGTGGCCGTCGCCGGAGGCCTCTTTGACGCAGGCGGAGGCCAGATGCAAAGCTCTGCAGCGGCTGCGCGGGTGGAGGGCGGCTCCCCTTCAGTATTTGTATACATTGTTCATTATATGTACACATAAATGATCAATTTGCATACATGGTCCACTTCTAATTCTTCGAAAGATCTTTGAATTCTTTTGGGGGCCAGGATCCTTTCAGTTCTGCTTGTTCCCTTCTGGGCCTCCTCCTGGCCACCAGGGGGCCAGGAGCAGTTAGAAGCGAGCACAACTAGAAGTGAGCACGATTAGAACTGAACGACGTGTGCCTCTCGTGCGAGTTCCCCCCCACCCGCCTGGCCAGAATGTGGAGTGCGCAACAGCTGCGCGGCTGTAGGGCGCTTTTTTTGGGGGGAGGCTCTCGCTGAACATGTCCCTGAGATGCATGATCCTACCCCGTAGCAGTTCTTGTAGTGCAAGGGGACGGCTGTTTCTCAGAGCGGGGCCGTGTTGAACGGTAGGCCAGCCGGTCTTGTCTTCCGGCAGCGCTGGGGTCTTTCGAAGGCCGCAGGAGAATCAATGTTTTCGCGTCTTGGGGCTCTCCCTGGAGGGCCTCTACAGGAGCCCTCGTGGGTTGTCTGGGGGGCCTCTTGGGCCGTCCTGAGGCCACCCTGGGCGTCTCGGAGTGCTCTTCGGCCGTCTCGGGGCTTTGGGAGAGCCTCTTTGGGGGAGCCTGCTGGGGGCCCTCTTGGCCGTTCTTGGGTCTCCCCAGATCCGGAGAAGTTTAACGACAAGGCCTAAAAGTGCGCCCGGGGACGCCCGGGAGCGCCTGGGACTCGGGTTTCCGGGCGGAAGTCGGGAGTGTCCCTTCTGCAGGAAGACTATTCACAAATTCGTTTGGGGACGATTTTTCTACTATTTTTGCTTATTTTTACATATTGGTGATTTCAATATTCAAAGCAGAGGACTCGAAGGACCTGGGGGCACTCCCCTTCGTGCTTCGGGGCACGGTGGCGGAGAAGGAGGACCGGCTGGCAGCAGTGACGACAGCGCAGCGGGAGGCCGCCAATGCGTTGTGGAACCCCGCGGGGCCCCTGCGCAGTTTGTCGACGGCAAGGCGCCTCGCCCCGACGATGTTGCGAACGACGACCACCGAAGCAAAGCGGGCTGCTTGTGATCGTTTCTTGTTCATTGTTTTGCCCATCGGCGCGGGCCCTCGGATCCCCCCTCCCCCCCTATGTGGAGTAGATCTTGGCTGTTTGTGGCGCCTGCTTCAGGCAGGTGGAGCCTCCTCCATGTGACGCACTGCTGCAGACAGTCGCACCAAGCAGAGGTCCAGAGCCAGACGCCCCCCCCCCTTCCTCAGGGAGCCAGAGACGGGGTAACAACAGACGGGGTAACAGGAAACGGCCGGTTCGAGGCATCAAACGGCCCATTTGTTGCAATGCATTCTGTTGTTCTGGTCGTTGCAGTTTTCCAACTGGATCCCGTGGTGGGTCTGTTGCCCCGTTTTGGCGTTACCCGCTTTAGTGCTCCCTGACTTCCGCCCAATGTCGAAATGCCGAATCTGAAAACGTTGACCTTGCGACGCCGGGCGGAAGTCGTGCAGAGCGCAGCGTGGGACACCGTGCCCGCGAGCGGGGCCCGGGGCGAGGCGGGCCGGGCTCCCCCGCAGGCCGTGGGCAGCTGGGCGCCCTTGTCTCCTCCTCCTCCTCCTTCTCCTCCTCCTCCCCCTCCTCCCCCTCCTCCTCCTCCTCCTCCTCCTCCTCCTCCGCCTCCTCCTCCCCCTCCTCCTCTTCCTCCGCCTCCTCTTCCTCCTCCTCCTCTTCCTCCGCCTCCATTCCTTTTCCTATATACATATATATATATATATATATATATATATTTATATATATATATATAAACAATATCTCCCTGTCGCACCCCGAGGCCAGATTTTAGGGCGGGCCGGGCGTTTCGCCTGAGACTTCCTCACCGTTTATGATTCTGAAGCGTAAGAAGTGACAACAGTTTCACAGATGGAGGGTGGGTCGTTTTCAAAATGTGGCTCTCGCCTTAGCTCCGCGCACATTCTTGTTAAACAGTTGCAAGAGTTTTACGGATTGAGGGCAGGTGGTTTTCAAAATGTGGCTCTCGCCGTAGCGCCGCGCACATTCGTTTTTAACATTTGCAAGAGTTTCGCGGATTGAGGGCGGGTGGTTTTCAAAATGTGGCTCTCGCCTTAGCGTCGCGCGCATTCGTTTTTGAACATTTGCAAGAGTTTCACGGATTGAGGGCGGGTGGTTTTCAAAATGTGGCTCTCGCTTCAGCGCCGCGCACATTCGGTTTGAACATTTGCAATCGTTTCACGGATTCCCATGATCAGCGTACCAGAAATGGTGTTTTGGAAGGATTCAGGATTATGTGGGCGTAACAGTTATGTTAATTCGCTGTGTTGAGGTCACAAAAATGGCGTTCTGGCACGATTCTGTATCGTCAAGACGCCGCAGTCAGGTTGATACATAGCGTTGAAATCCCGAGAACAATGATTTGGCACGCTTCAGCATCTTCAAACGGTTGTCTTCCAACGAGGCAGTTCCCTCAATGGAAATCAACCGTTGTAGGGGCCTCTGAAGAGGGAGCTTGGAGGGAGGGCTGATTCCAACATCGTTGACGACTCGAGGGTTTCCACTGGTCCTCCTCCTCCTCCTGCTCCTTCTCCTGCTCCTCCTCCTCCAGCGCCGCCGGGGCCGAGTGGCGCGTCCCTTCGGCCCCGTGCCCAGGCGACGTGCGCGTCGCGTGCGCGGGGGCCCTCTCGGCTCGAACAGAAAGGCCAGGAGCGTCCGAAAGCCTCCATACTCCAGGGCCCACGTCGATCCGATCGATCCGATTCGACACTGGTTTTTGCGGGCCCGGCCCGATTAGGTGTCGGTGTTCCCACGAGCCGATGCAGCTTGATGCCTGTAGAGCGCTGCTGTGCAGCCGATCCGACTCGACTTCGACGCCGTGCCGATGCAGCCCGATCCGACGCACGCTCCGACTCGATCTGACTGCCCGAGCGCGGCCGCCCCCTCCTGCTGCTGGCTCTCCTCTGTGCTTGGACCTAGCCCGCCCTGGTCCAGGTCCTGGTCCTGGTCCTAGCCCGCCCCAGGCATCAGCACCCAGAGCCCGAGTGCCCTGCTTCCTCCCTTTCCTCCTACAGGGTTGCTTGGATGCTTGTTGTCACTTCATTTTTGACTCCGTGCTCGAGGCAACGGCCTCACCCACCTGGCCTGAGGTGAGCCCAGACAGCTGTCCGTAGCGGCGGCCTGTCTGTCTGTCTGTCTGTCTGTCTGTCTGTCTGTCTGTCTGTCTGACTGACTGACTGACTGTCCGTCCTCCTCCGTCCTCCCCGTCATCGCCCTCGTTCTCCTCGTCCTGGATCTGCTGTTCGAAGCAGCACGCAGAGCAAACAGAAGATGCGCGACCTCCCCACAGGATGCAGGGCGGCATGCGCGGGGGCCCGCCCGGCCCGCGGGGAGGGCCGCTAGGCGCCGCGCCCGTGCCCCGGACCCCCGTGCTGCTCGACCCGCCGCCGCCGACGTCGCCGCCGATGCCGCAGGGATGGTGGTCGTCGTGGCCGTCGCCGCCGCCGCCGCCGGCGCAGTCGTCGCCCGCGTCGTGGTGGTGGTCGTGGTGGTCACCGTCGTGGCCGCCGTGGTCGTTGCCGTCACTGTCGCCGCAGTCGTCTTTTCTTCTTCTTCTTCTTCTTCTTCTTCTTCTTCCTCTTCTTCTTCTTCTTATTCGTCGTCGTCGTCGTCGTCGTCGTCACCGTCGCCATCGCTGTCGCCGTCGCCGTCGCCGCCGCCGTCGCCGTCGCAGTCGCCGTCGGCGTCGCCGTCGCTGTCGCCGCCGTCGCCGCCGTCGCTGCCGTCGCCGTTGCCGTCGCCGTCGCCGTCGCAGTCGCCGCCATCTTTGCCGTCGCCGCCGTCGCCGTCGCCGTCGTTGTCGCCGTCGCCTTCGCCGTCGCTGTCGGCGTCGTCGCCGCCATCTTTGCCGCCGCCGCCGTTGCCGCCTGCGTCGTCGCCGCCGTGGCCGCCGCCTCCGTCGCCGCCACCGTTGCCGCCTGCGTCGTCGCCGCCGTCGCCGCCGCTTCCGTCGCCGCCGCCGTGGGCGTCGTCGCCGCCGTCGTCGCCGTCGCCGTCGCCGTCGCCGTCGTTGTCTTGTCTTGTCTTGTCTAGTCTTGTCTTGTCTTGTCTTGTCTTGTCTTGTCTTGTCTTGTCTTGTCTTGTCTTGTCTTGTCTTGTCTTGTCTTGTCTTGTCTTGTCTTGTCTTGTCTTGTCTGTCTTGTCTTGTCTTGTCTTGTCTTCTTGTCTTGTCTTGTCTTGTTGTCTTGTCTTGTCTTGTCTTGTCTTGTCTTGTCTTGTCTTGTCTTGTCTTGTCTTGTCTTGTCTTGTCTGTCTTGTCTTGTCTTGTCTTGTCTTGTCTTGTCTTGTCTTGTCTTGTCTTGTCTTGTCTTGTCTTGTCTTGTCTTGTCTTGTCTTGTCTTGTCTTGTCTTGTCTTGTCTTGTCTCTTGTCTTGTCGTCGTCCTGCATCTTCCATCTCTGTCACTCCCGCCCTTCTCCTCCTCGCGCTCCTCCTCCTCCTCCTCCTTTTCCTCCTTTCCTCCTTTTCCTTATCCGCGTCCTTCTCCTCCTCCTCCTCCTCCTCCTCCTCCTCCTCCTCCTCCTCCTCCTCCTCCTCCTCTCCCTCCTCCTCTCTTCATCCACTTCGCAGTTCCCACCCTGGATCCCGTCGCCCCTTCCTGCTTCCTGCGGCGGGGGCATCGATGCTTTCGGACACTTCAAGTGTTTTTTCGGCGGCCAGCCTATGGGGGAAGTGAGAAGGACAGAAGACTGCTCAGAAGGCGCGGGTGCTTCTGAGAAGCCGCGCCGCCTTCTCTCAGGAGGGGAAAAAACACACAGACACAATTAATCTGCGATTCCCAGAAAATATGGGAAAATATGGGAAGTGGGGGGGAAGACAGAAACCCAGAAAATATGGGAAAATATGGGGAATCATTTTAATTGTGTGTATTTATTTGTGTGTCCCAGTTTCCCTTCATTCTCAGGAGGGCTGCTCCTTCCTAATTCCCCCGGGGCGCGCTGCCGATTGTCTGTTTGGGGGCTCCTGGGGGGGGACCGCTCCTCGTCGACCCTCGATCCTCGATCCCCGTCGAGGAGGACCGTCGATGGAGGCCGATCAGCAGGCCTCCCAGGAAGCTGGGCAGGATCGCCAGGCCGAGTCTCCCCGAGCCGAGGATCTTGGGCGACCCTCGCTCCTCAGCCTTCGACTTATAAGTTGGGCCTGTCCCCCTACAGGGGGAACCTTCAAAAATAGTCAAACAATGATCAGGGGACGACTTTCTGACTTTTCTTGCCCATTCGGGGGTATTTTTTGTGCATTTTCGGTTTTTCGCCCAAAGTCCCCCTGTAGGTGTGAGTGATCAACTGTTTATGCATCATGTTTTGTGGCAAGCACGCTCCTGCTGTCGTTTGGCTCAGGCGCCTTGACCAGTTTTTAGCTACGCAGGCAAAAGGATTTCTTTCCACATCGATACATCGGCGACATCCCAGCGACAGTGGCAGCGGAACCGTTCTTCCGTGGCGGCTGCGCCGGCGGCGCCGGCGGCCTCTTGGCCTTGGCTGCAGCGCGGCCGCCTGCAGCGCAGGATCCTCCGATTGCCCTGCTCCTCTACTGCGTGCTCGTTTTTGTTCCTCTCTTGTGTGTGGTTTCTCGGCGCCGGCAGATCGGCAGAGATGGGCCCCAATCTGGAGCGAGAGGACAGCTACATCCCAGGCCGGGACGGCAACCCCTCATCATGGATGACGTGCAAGGAGGAAATTCGCATAGGGACGCTGAGGTTGGACCTAGACGTTCAGTGCAGTATCGCTGCGAGGATGATCAGGAAACCCAGAGGGGCTGCGCGACGAAAGGCCCTGACGCTCAGAAGCGCAAGCCTACAGCCGTATCGAGGCCACCGAGAAGTGCGAGCTGACCCACCAGAAGGCAAAGACAAGTAAAAGGGCGAGATCGTGGTCGAAGCTATTCTTCCAGACGTCGGGCGAGGCATTCGCAACCTGATGGAGGCGCTCGAGTCCCTGTGCCCGCCTCAGGTGTGCAGGAAAGGTGAGACCATGACGGATTTATTCGAGACCCAGACGTATGCGCGCAGGGCTGGTACCAGGGTTTCAGATTATAACACGGTCTTCGACCACCGAGGACGGTGTTGAGCTCATTTTTTTTTTTTTTTTTTTTTTTTTTTTTTTTTTTTTTTTTTTTTTTTTTTTTTTTTTTTTTTTTTTTTTTTTTTTTTTATATATATAGAAAAAACGGTTATATCTAGTTATATACATAGTTATATATAAATATTAAGATTAGTATTATTATTATCATTATTATTATTGTTTTCTTGTTGTTCTTCTTCTTCTTATTAACCATGCGGCGGCTGAGTATTACGAGAGAACAGCGAGAGCGGCTCATCGCAACGCTGCTGCCGAGCGATGCCTTCCAGTTGCGAGAAGTGCAGACGACAACGATGCGGATTTTTTTAAGATATTCACATTCATGAGCGCGGCCGCCCACAGCAGCCACGAACATTCGAGCAGAAGAGGCATCGGCAGGGTGGCGAAGGACTACCACCACCCAAAGCAGTGAACGTGACGGAGTACGAGGATGACGAGGGCCTCGGAGAGGACGAGGCCGATGACGACGGAATCGAGGAGCTGGTGCAGCGCGAGCTGGAGGCGTTGGCCACCGACCTCGGTGACACTGGCGAAGAGGAGCTGGACCACGACCAGGCGGAGGCGGTCGAGAAGGCAGCGGTCCAGCTCTCAGAGTTGCCGGAGGCGCTTGCTGCCGTGCGGCAGGCTTGAGACAGCCTCAGGAAGGGCGGCTCCTCTGGCTCTGGCGGTGCCGCGGTTGCCCCTCCACAGAGGACTGGACGCGGCCGAGGCCGATCTACTGCTGGCAGGAAACCAGGACGTGGAGGTAAGTTTCAGCCGATCAAGGATACCCTCGACTGGCGCACAGAGAACTCTCAGTGCCGTGTGTGCGATGGCTGGGGTCATTGGGCTGGTGATCCAGAGTGTCCACGAGCACGAGAAGTTCAAGAGGTGACGTCTGGAGTGGACCGCGACGATGATGAAATGGAGATCCTGGCAGTAGAGATGACATTCCCACATGCCGTGCTTCAGAACGCGGTGGTCACTGGCCCGTTCCTGATGCGCCAGAAAGGTGGGGCGACTGCTGCGGGCACCTGAAGTCGCTTGGCCTCGACAAGCTCGCGACCGTCGAGTCCTTGCGCGAGACCTTCAAGTTCGGGGATGGCGGCGCGAAGGATTCTGATGCTCGGGTGAGGCGCCCAGTGGCGGTACCGCGCTTCATCGAGGCGCGCCTGCTGGATATTCCGGCGCTCAACCTCCTCTTGGGGCGTGACCACCCGGAGCCCGTGCGCGCCGAGATCAAGACGTCGCCGCCGAGACGGATCACAATCGGGCCTCATAAGGCTGAGTTGTCTCAGAATCGTTCTACTGGACACTGCATGCCGGACTTGAGCCCCGACGCCTACCACGTGCTGCGCAGCCACTCAGGGACAGGAGTGTTGCCGACGAGTTGCCCAGGAGGCTCCGACCGGGGACAGCAGGTGGCAAGACGGCGTCGAGGACCATGGCGCTCGCGTGCGGAGCTCAGGCGGCCATCTCAAGCTGTGGCCAAGGGCTCGGCCCGGCCGCGGAAGCAGCCAAGGAGGGCGCCAGTGTCAGCCATGCCCGGAACATCAAGAAGGTAACGTTTCATGACGGGCCTCCTGGAGGCCGCGATCGCCATATCTGTGCTGATCCGGCTACCTTCATGTGCTCGTGTGGCATCGGCGCGCGCGAGCTGTGAGCGGCAGGGTCTCTGCTCTGGCTGCAAGTATGACGTGGATATGGTTGGCTTCGCCGAGGGAGACAACGCGAATCTTGTTCAGAACGCCAGCTGGCGGTTCATGGAGCGGGGCCATCAGAAGCATAATTTTGCCGGTGTCACTCAGGCCAAGACGCTGCGCGACCATGGCGTGAGCACGAACGAGGTGAAGAAGCTGATCCAGCTCGAGCAAACAGACCAAGCACATGGGCAGGCAGTTGCAGCTATCAGACGAGGACGCCCAAGGAGCTACAGCCTGTTCGAGCTGGCGTGTAAGCCCATTAGCCTGTTAGGGAGAGAGGTCAACGCCACTGGGAGACATGATCGAGCCTTCAGGGTACATCTACCAGAGTGCGATCTGCGTGAGAAGAAGACCGTGGAGGGCATGCTCATGAAGATCATGAAGGAGAAGAAGCTTGATAGGATACCGGTGGTCTTGATCAGTGTCCCGTGCACTCTGGTGTACTTGCCAGCGGCCCTGGAATTCCAGGTCGCTGGCTCAACGAGTTCGTTTGAGGATGGCCCGACAGGAGAACAATGATATTCTACGTGGCATACCTTGGCTCTTGCGAGAGTTACGACCTCATGCAATTCCCGCGGGGTTCGAGCTACCCTTCGTGAGCGACGTGAAGGATGATAGGTATAAGCCGAATGGGCCCTTGCAGATCCAGGATTCTTGGACTACGAGCTGTGCTTGATGGTTGTCAGTGCGGCGTTGACCAGTGAGGGCGAGCCTATTCGGAAGAGATCCAAGGACCTGACCAACCGACGGCCCATCGCCGAGAAGCTCTGCAAGAAGTGCGACGGGACGCGCGTCCACGCGAGGGTGTATGGCGGGAAGGACCCCAACCAGACTGGCCGCTGCCCCGTCTCGCTCGTGAAGGATATTGCCTCGGGGCTGCGAGCAGTTCGACGCGGCTACGACGTCCTGCCAGTGGCCCACGACGGGGAGATCACTGCCCGCGCCAAGGCGGTCCTCGACGCGATGGGCCCGGCGGAGCGGGTGCAGCTCGAGCGAGTAGTCAAGCTGGCGCGCGCCAATGCCGGCCACCCGACCAACCCTAGCCTTGCCAGGGCCATTCGCTTGCGGAGTGGCTCGGCTGAGGCGATCGCTGCAGTGGAAGCGCACCGCTGTCCTGACTGCGAGAGGCGGGGGCCTCCAGAGATCTCCGCGTCCGCGGACCTGAGGTCCCACTTCCGCGACTTTGCCGATGGAGTGGCTACCGACCTGATGGCCCTCGCCGACGTCGAGGGCCACCGGGCCCTGCTCCAAAACAATGTCGACATGGCCACCATATTTCAACTAGTGGCCCCGCATGACGACAAGACGCCAATCGCGTTGCGAGATGGGGGAGCTGGGCTGGGCCGCCCCAGGCGTGCATTGCAGACCTCGGAGGTGATTTCGAGATGGAGTTCCGCAGCGAGCTCGAGGGCATGGGCGCCGACCTCGTCGCCGCCGCCGCCCTGGGCCCCGCGCGTCGACAGCGTCTGCGAGCGGCGCGGTGGCGAATGGAAGTACATCGCCGAGGCCATCGTCGACGAGTGCCAGATCGATTTCGCCGTCCCAGGCGCTGTGGAGTGGCTCTGCACCGTGGTAAACTGGGCGAAGAACAGCAAGGTGGGGCCGTCAGGGTACAGCCCTGCGCAGTGGGTGCTCCGACGTGGGCACCGGTTGCCCTACGGCATGCTCTCTACCCGCGCGAGGCTCTCGCTCCGCCGGCCCGCCAGGGGCGACCGGGCGTTCCAGCGGCGCGTGGGCATGCTTGCTGCAGCTCAGCGTGCAGCCCAGGCAGTCGAGTACGACCGCCGTCTTTCAGCAGCCTTCCTGGCCAAGAGTCGCAGACGGGCTGCTCGGCCATCGAGCCTCAACTTCGGCATCGGCGACCTGGTTTTCTACTGGCGTGGCCTGAGGAAAAAACAAGGAATATGGAATTTCTAGTGGCATGGCCCTGGGGTTGTCATTGGGTACGAGGGGAACAACGCGTGGGTTTCGCATCGGAATGCCACCCTCCAGTGACCCCGGAAGCATCTGCGACCTGCGCTTCCAGAAGAGCGCGTGCCCCGGAATGACTTTTTGGACGCTTGGGCTCATGGCGACGAGCCCGAGTTCGAAGAGGGCACGCCCTGCATGGAGGACCCCCCGGGGACCGACACCGACTGCGACGACATGACCGTCGACGACGAGGAGATCCCAGGCCCTACTAACACTCGCGCTACTGCAGGACCGCGCCAGACTGGGAAGCGCCGTGGACAGTTTGGCTATCGCCCCGAGGGTTCGGCCGAGGAGGAGACCCCGGGCCCCCCGCTCGATTTCGATGCTTCGGGCCTGGATAAGTCGGCCGACCCAGAGGCGAAGCGACCGCGTTTCGCTTCAGTACCGGAGTTCGAGATCTCAGTGGAGATGCCGCCAGCGCAGCCACAGCGGCAATATCCCGACCCGGTCTCAGTGGAGCCCGAGACGCCTTTCGAGCAGCCGATGTTCGACCAGGAGCAGTTCCAGCGGGCGCGCTCCAGTCAGGTTCCGGGCGCTTTTGGCCCAGACCTGTACGAGCAGGAACCATAATCAGGGTGCGCCCGACTTCGACGAGGACCTCGACGCAGGCGAGGGGCAGGAGACGCCGTGCCCGCCACGACACCAGGCGCCCGCGCCGGAGCCCGATAACCCCGTCGTGGAGGAGCGTCGTCAGCAGCGGCGACTTCGCCACGACCCACTCGATGACCTGCCTACCAGAAATCGGCATAACGTCCAGGCAAAGAAGAGCACTACGTGGTGCGATCCCTTCGACGACGTGCCGCAAAGTATCCGGCGATCGCTTCAAGACCGACAGGTCGCCGAGAGGCCCAGGGTTGACGAGCCCCTGATCATGGGGCTTTCCCTGAAGGAGTCGGTCGACTTCGATTGCTCCACCCTCTACCCGACCAGGTTCAGGCGCGTGGGCCTCGCGGGCAAGTCGAGGGGCAAGGGGCTGGTTTTCAGGGGGAAGTCAAGGGGCAAGGAGCAGGGGCAAGGAGCGGCAACCAGGTCAAGATGCGGAGGGCTATTGCTTCAAAGTGGTACAAGTGGCTGGCGTTCAACGCAGTGCGGTACTGTTCCAGGTGGGTTTTGACGGAGAAGGATGTGGATGCCTTCAAGGCGAGGCTGGTGGTGCAAGGGTGTCAGGATAACGATTTGGGCATTCGTGCCGACGCTCCGACCAGGGGCCGAGACGCATTCTGGCTTGCGGCGGGGTCTGCAGCCCAACATGATTGGGGTGGCGACTTCTTCGATGCCAAGAGTGCCTGCCTGCAGGCAGAGGGCATCGACCGAGCCCTGATGATCGAGATGCCGCTGGAGAATCCTCCTCCGGGCACTGTTCCAGGACAAATCTTCCTCGCGACGGGCAGCGTCTACGGCGCGAAGGGCGCTGGCAGAGCCTGGTGTTTGCATTTGAAGGCAGTTCTCAGTGGATGCCAGATCCATGGCAGCAAGCTGGGGCGAGGCTGGTAGTACTTGGCTCACCAGGGTGAGATCTTACTGGTCATGCATTCCCACGTGGACGACATGTTCTTCGCCTGGAAGCAATCCAGTACCTGGGTCCTCAAGATCATGCCGGAGCTCGAGAAGCGCCTGCGCCTTGCCGAGAAGGTCGGCGACGCCGGCTACCTTGGCACGAGTGTGCAGATGACGCCGGGTTCATCAACGTGACCCCGGAGAAGGCCAAAGCGATCGAGTACATCCCCATCCGCGCGAACCGCGCGAAGATTCCTGAGTCGGAGGTGACGCTCGAGGAGGTCAGTAGCTTCAGGACGACAAATGGACAGGTGCAGCGTGTTGCCACGAGGTCTCGTCCAGATGCGGCTTGTAAGCAGAACTTGGCGGCCCAGCGTGTCAGCGAGCTCAAGGTCCAGGACCGCGTCGACGCTGGGGGTTCGGCTCGTCCGTGGTCGAGTTCGTATTCTGACGGCGCAGCCGGTGTTCTACGGTGACTCCGCTTTCGCCAGTGCCGAGGGCGAGCGGTCGCAGTGCGAGCTCGTCGGGGGCTTGACTCGCAAGCCTGGGGAGGTCGCCGAAAGGAGATTTAGCGATTTGATTCCGCTCACTTGGTGTCCAGGACGTGTTCGGAGGGTGGTGCGAAGCATTTTCAGTGCAGCGGCCTATGCTAGTGGCGGGGCCTCCGAGCGCGCCGAGTGATATCGCCAGGTGCTGACGGAGCTGAAGATGGCGGCGAAGCTTGGGGGCCCGCCAAGGCTGAAGGACGTGGAGCGGCAAGCCGATGACATCAAGATGACGACCTTCACGGACAGCAAGAACCTAGAGGAGACGGTGGAGAAGGACGCCGGAGTCGTGCAGGACAAACGGTTGAGGATTGTGGTCAGCTTTCTGAGAGAGACCTTCGCACCTGCGGCTGCGATTTTGCGGTGGATTCCGACGCGTGGGATCGTCGCGGGCGCCCTCGCCAAGGTGATGCGCGCGGGTCTGCTGATGGCATTTATGTCCGGTCGTGACGTCGGGTTTTCGGTCCCAGCTCCCAAGTCGAAGAATTTCGTCCAGGTATGGACGTTGGCCGCGAAGGCCATGCCTGGGGCCAGTTTGACCTCTGGCCGATCGAGAGGACGAGCAACGGCCGGCCCAGCCAGGACCTGACCATCGTGCAGTCGTGCAATCGTGAAGGATATGCAGGGAGTTGGTTATACGATTTGCAGGGTATGGCTTTTGGAATTATGTTGACTCTCTTTTGTCTGCCAGTGTATGTTGTTGTTCGGAAGATAACGCCCCTGAAGTCTGGGGCGCAGGAGGCAGACCAGCAGATGGAGATGACGATCAAGCTGGCCATGCAGCTCAAGACGCAGCAGGTCGACCAGCAGATGGAGATCAGGACCGAGCCCAAGCACAAGAAGGACATGGGTTACGGCAGAGTCCAGGTCAGGGATGTGATGATGATGAGCCAGACTGCGTATGTGAGAGGTTTTGCGCCAGGCCCGAAACGTCACAACTCCGTTCACAACTTCGAGGGTGACGTGTGTTGTGGGCAGCCCTACGATCGTGTGAGCACTCCGTGATTGTGCGGTGCTCCACCGACGACATCTACGGCTGTGTGAGCACTCAGTGTGCGGTGCTCCACCTACGGCATCTACGGCTGTGTGAGCACTCATTGTGTTGTGCTCCACCGACCACGAGCACCCCTGTGAGCTCATTTTTTTTTCCCTTTCGAGCCTGAGGTGCGCTCTGATCTCCGTGTGAGTGGTTTGGTTTCTTAGCCGCGAGCCCCGCTGGGCTGTTACATGATGGTTGCCACTCTGGGCACCGTGCAAAACCATCCCTACCGCTTCCTCGTTCTACCTCCCTGAATGCACGTATGAGTTTTTATGCTCGCGAGTTTTGGTTTTACTGCCTTGACCTGTGAGCTAATCTAGCAAGCTAGCCAACACCTGTACGAGCCTGGGCCCGAGCTTGTAGCAGACGAGCCGTCAGCGACCGGCCGATCCTCCGTTTGATTTAAGCAGCGTTGCGATCATGGAAGGGTACAGCGTATATTTCGGAAGGTGTGAGTGATCAGTTGTGTATGCAGCGTGTTTTGTAGCAGGCACGCTTCTACTATCGTTTGGCTCAGGCGCTTTGACCAGTTTTTAGCTACGCAAACAAGAGGATTTCTTTCCATATCGAGATATCAGCGATATCCCAGCGACAGTAGGGGGACATGCCCGACCTAAACCTCGACCCTCGACCATCCTCGATCCTCGAGGCTCGAGGCCGATCAGCAGGCCTGCTTGCGGGCCCGCCAGCAGGCCCGCCGACGACCCGCGGCAGGCCTCCTAGGGGGCCGCCGCAAGCCAGCAGTGGGCCTCCAGGGACCCCCTTCCCAGAGCGGACGCCTCGAGGAGGCCACCGCAGCGCCCCGAGGAGGCCACCAGCAGGCCACAGGGAGTGCCGCCCAGGAATCGCCTCTGAGGCTGCCAGTGGCCTCCGCGGCTGGCCGCCCATCGCTTGCGAGGCCCTGGATCCCTTGTTGGTCGGACGATCCCCCCTGTTGTCGCCCGCGCCCCCTCCTCCTCCTCCTCCTCCTCCTCCTCCTCCTCCTCCTCCTCCTCCTCCTCCTCCTCCTCCTCCTGCTCCTCCTCCTCCTTTTTTTCAGCCAGGCTTGCCTAAGTAGGGGCTTCCCACTCATTTCTTCAAAGCTCCCTCAGTACAGGTGCCCTAGGCCGGTGTCCCTCGTGAGTCCCTCCCGTGAGCCTCGCGTGCTCCTTTCGTGCGTGCCCCGTCTCTGGTGCGCATCGCGTGGCCGGCGGTGTTGCCAGGCAGATCGCTCCAAGCGGACCGCTCGCTCGCGACGCACATCGTGTGGCTGGCGTTGTTGCCTGACTAGGCTGGCAGAGAGGCTTCTTGCTTTTCGCTTACCATAGCTCCCTCACTACAGGTGCCCTGGGCCGGTGTCCATCCCGAGCCCCTCCCGTGGCTCACGCGTGCCCCTCCAGAGCGAGGCCGCTCGCTTCCGGTGCACATGGTGGCCAGCGCTGTTGCCAGGAAGCTCACTCCAAGCGCGCCCGCTTGCTTGGCCGCGCACTTCGCGTGGACTGCGCCGAGCCCGCCTGGGCGGAGCTTTGCTGCGGAGGATGTCCTTCTTGTCATCGTCGTCGGCGTCCCCCTCGCCGTCGTCCCCCTGATCGCGGCCCCAGCAACGAATACAGCGAGCGCCCGCCAATGATAATTCGTGTTTTTCTGGGGTCGTTCGTCGGGAGGCCGCCGCGTCAGCAGCGCCACTTTTTTCCGTTGAACGGACTTCAACCGAAAGGTGAAGGTCGGGCATGGCCCTCTATAGCAGGAGTAGTCAAACATAGTGAAGAAATAGTCTAGGGAGGATTTTTCGATCATTTTGGGCTACTGCTGAATATTTTTGACTTTACTTGTTCGTCCAAAATCCGCCTGTAGGGGGACATGCCCGACCTAAGTGTAGCGCCCGACCCCTCCTTCTCTGCTTCCTCCCTCTCCTCTTCCCTGGCTCGGCCCCGAATGGCGATCTGTTTGAGTTGCCTGTCCCGTCTTCCCTGCTCCCCTCGGGCCCGCCCGAGATCGGCGGCGAGCGAAGGGGAGGTGAGAAGGGGGCGATCTGTTTGAGATGCCTGTCCTGTCTTCTCTGTTCCCCTGGGCTCCGCGTAAGATCGGCGGCGTGCGAGGGGGGAGGTGAGAAGGGGCGGGCCATCCCAGAAGGCTCAGACGTCCCCTGGCCCTCGGAGAAGCGCTCGAAGCCTTCCGCGAAGCCTCAGAAGACCTATCAGAAGGCCGGAGGGCTTCTTAGAAGTCCCGCCGCCTTCTGGAGTCCTGGCGCGTCTTTCGGCTCAGTTTTTGAGGCCGTCTCCGGTTCCCCCCGCCACGGGTCGGCCGTGGGTGCTGCCTCCTCATCGTCTTCTCTCTCGTCTCTTGCCGTGCTCGGCTTTCGTTCGTCGTCGTCGTCGTCGCCGTCGTCTTTTGTTTTGTCGTCGTCGTCTTTCGCCTCCCCGTCGTCGTCGTCGTCGTCGTCGTCGTCGTCGTCGTCGTCGTCGTCGTCGTCGTCGTCGTCGTGTCGCCCCCTCGCCGTTTTCTTCTTTCGTTTCGCGTCGTGTCGTGTCGTCTCCTTTCGTCTTGTGTCCTTTCGTCTCTCCTGTGGGCGGCCGATTCGCGGGGGGTCCTGTGATTGAGTTTCATCCTCCCTGAGCTTTTCCCCGACCCTTCGGCTATGCCAGGTCTTTAAGCCCTCCAGCCGAGGTAGGGGGTGGGTGGGAGTACTGCTATAAAGCCACGCGTGGTCTTGGATTATCGAGCCAAGGCGCCTTCGAGAAACGAAGTCAGCTTGCGAATGGTCTTCGTGTGGGTCCCCATCGCAGTGGATGGGCACCAGTGGACCCAGCTGACACGCCTCTGCAGAGTTGTTGGTTCTTTGGTTCTCCTCTTTCTCCTCCTCCTCCACTTCCTCCTCCTCCTCCCTCCTCCTCCTCCTTCTCCTCCTCCTTCCTTCCTCCTCCTCCTCCTCCGCCTCCTCCTCCTCCTCCTCCGCCTCCTCCTCCTCCTCCTCCTCCTCCTCCTCCTCCTCCTCCTCCTCCCCTCCTCCCCTCCTCCCACCCCTCCTCCTCCCCCCCCTCCCCCAACCCCAACCTCCCCACTCTCCTTCCGTCGCCTGTTCCCATCCCCTCTTCTCCCCTTTCCCTCACCCTCTCCTCCTCCCGCCCGCGACAAGCGCCCACCAAGCAGGCAGCTCATCTCCAGCTCTGTCACAGCGAGGCGTTCGTTGTTCTGTTCTGTTTGGTTGGTTTGGGGCGCAGCGGTTTTCCCCGCCAGCTTTCGGCTCGCCCCGCGCCGAGCACCAGTCTCAAGAGGGCCGTCTGACAGCGAAAAGAGTGGATTCTGCGGTGTCCCAGTCTCAAGTCGGGCCTGTCAAAAACAAAAACAATTCGGAGGACGATTTTTTCGACTGGCTTGTACTATTTTCGAGCATTCTTGACTATTCTTGATTTTCTTCCAACATCCGCCTGTAGGAGGACATGCCCGACCTAATCCTAGTCATCTCCTGGGCCCCGATCCTGCCCGCGCCCGCTTCCTCCCCCTCACCGCCTCCTTCCCCCGCCTCCTTCCCTCCACTCACCTCCCCGTTTCGTTTCGCCTCCTGACGTCAGACCCCCCTCGCCTCCTCTCGCCCCCCGCTTTTCCTCCGTCGCCCTGCCCCCCCCTCCCCCTTCTCCGCCGCCCTTCCCCCCCTCGCCCTCGCCTCCTGCGTCCCCGCGCCGCGGCGCCCCCCCGCCGCAGCGCCCCTCGCCTTCCCCCCCCCCCCCCTCTCGCCCGGAGGCCCCCCCGTGCTCCGGGCGCGCGCCCCACCGCCGCGCGCCTGCGCGCCCGCGCGCCCGCGCGCCCGCGCGCATGGGGGCCGCGGGGAGCGGGGAGGAGCCCGAGCTGGGGGCGCCCGAGCTCCAGGCCGCAGGGCCGCTGCCGGGGTGCGGGGCCGCCGCCTGCGGCCGCCGCCTGCGGCTGCCACCGGCCTGGCGCTCGTGGGGCGGTGCTCGGCTGCTCGGCCCGGCGTGGCCTCGGGGTGGCCGCAGGAGTCTCCGAGGGCGCCCTGGAGGAGCCCCGAGAGCCACCCCAGAGCGTCCCCAGGGGCGGCCCCGAGGAGGGCCCCAGGGGGGCCCCTGGAGGGCTCCCAGGAGGGCCCCAGGCCGGCACCATGACGGCGGCAAGGCAGCCCAAAGACAGCCTCCTGCGATCACTTGCGAACCGTGCCCGTGCGGGTTCAATCGACAATGAATGTGTTATCGGACGCCCGCTTGGGTACGCCTGGCCGCAGCCAAACCCCTCAACTCTGAACCCAGCTGGTGTTGCAGAAGTCTGTTTCGCAGTAGTAGTAGTAGTAGTAGTAGTAGTAGTAGTAGTAGTAGTAGTAGTAGTAGTTGTAGTGGTAGAGTAGATAGCACAGCATAGTATAGGTAGTAGTTATTAGTAGCAGTAGCCGTAAGCAGTCAGCAGTTAGCATAGTTGTAGTAGTAGTAGTAGTAAGTAGTAAGTAGTAGTAGTAGTAGTATGTAAGTAGCTCTGTTCAGAAAGACCTGTGTGGTATCCGCATTATAGTCACAGTAGTATTAGTAGTAGTAGTATTAATAGTAGTAGTAGTAGTAGTAGTAGTAGTAGTAGTAGTAGTAGTAGTAGTAGTAGTAGTAGTAGTAGTAGTAGTAGTAGTAGTGGTAGTCGTAGTAGTTGTAGTACTAGTAGTGGTCGCAGCAGAATCCCCACCCCCCTCCTTTGCTCTCTTCCAACGGGTCGATTTGGCCAACAGAGGAAGGTTAACCCTGGTGGTAGCCGTAATCGCAGTAGTAGTAGTCGTCGCCGTCGTAGTAGCAGTCGTAGTAGTAGTAGTAGTAGTAGTAGTAGTAGTAGTAGTAGTAGTAGTAGTAGTAGTAG